TCTAAAACGAAACTTTTTTTTTTTTGGTAATTTAAGCCTACTTTCTTATTTTGTCATTTGTTTCCCTCATAAACCAGAAACAAAAATCTGCCCATCTGCTCTAAACATAAAATGTGTTCATAATAATCCAGATTTATACCAAATGTATTTTTAAGTATTGCTGAATTGAGAGAGTACTCAAAATTTATGGCCTCGGAGGCTGCAAGGAGGACTTCCTCTTTTTAAGAAGGGAAATGCTTAAAATGAACGTAAGAAAGGCTCAGAAAGCTTCTTGGATATCAAATGGCTCCGTAAGAAAGAAAAAAAATGTCAATGATATGAGTAAATGAATCAAAACCATATGGGTCAAATTTTCCCTAAAATACACAGTTTGAAAAATTAAGGAGGAAAAGTACTTGGCAAAATGTGTTTTGGGTTTTACCAAACCCAAAACATTTGAAGAATCATTTGCAATGGTTGATGAACCCTAAATGCAGCCAAGTGGCCCGTTTCTGTATACTGCATAACAATCTTTAAAACGCTTCTATGTAACCCACTGATACCGCGTGTCACTCAAGAAATCATTAGAAGCTGTGACCAAAAACTGTGGAGTTTGTAGAAGTCAGGTTGGGGAGGGTGCGAGACGATAAAAGGTTGTTAATGTAATAGGCCTTGCTTCTCGGGTTTGGCTGGGTGTGCTTTGGAGATGGGGGAGCAGGGAGGGTGGTGTTTCTCGCAAAGAAAGTTAATTAGAAGAACATGTTAATTAGGCTCTGGAGTGGAAATACATTGTCTCTTTCCCTGTGCTCTTCCTCTCTTGTCTCACACCAAGAGAGCACAACCTTTCAGAAGGCAGGTACTGCCGGGGGATCCCTCTCCAGAGCGAGCTGAATGGTTTTCCTCTCACAGGGTGTTGGTCACTCATTACATAAGCCCCAACTCCTCAAAAGGGTTATGAAGTTCAAACAAAATACAATTCAGCGACAGCAGAAAATGCCAAGGCCATCGGCCTACCCTCTCGCTCACCCACCACTGAGAATGTCGCCTCAAGTTCCCCGACAGATGCAGCCTCTGAGGCAGCCAGCGGCAAACACACGGAAGGCTCTCGGCCCACCGACAGGAAAATCGGGCCGAGCACCAGCGCCAGAGCCCACACACAACTTTCCGGGCCGCTGTGTTTCCTCAGCAAGTGAAGTGTGCAAATCTGTTTATAGAAGAATTAGCAACAATGGGAAGAGAGATGCAGCTGGCTCTTCACCCTGGCGGTAACTCCCCGTCATTTCCATGATTGTGTGCACTGGCCTCGGTATTTCCATCAGGGAAGTGGGACTGTTCCCCAGATATAGTAACTGATTCCCTCAGAACAAGATAAACTTGCCAGCAATTCAGTGGCGCACAGACCCTTTCAGAACTTGAGCAGAGATATGAACAAAGTTTCTAAGAATTTTTGTCAAAGTTCTTCGGTTTATAATGTCCTAAGTACATGTCAATCCGTTGCTGCTCCAGCCTCAGCAGCCGGACAGATGTGACTTCCCGAGTCCCTGCTTCACAAACCCGCCCCTCTCTAAGCTGAGACTTTTCCTGAGCGAAGGACTGGGGGCATCCAACAAGCACCATTTGGCTAAGGACTCTGATTCCAAGCTTTAAGAGAATCTGCGCTTGAGGGGTAGATAGGTTAGAATCCCCCCCAAAAAAGGCAACTACAGTCCACATATACAGAGAAACAGTGTGCCTGTCATGGTATCTAGTAATTCCTGGACAAGAAACTAGAAAGCCCATTGTACAAAAGTTTCCACACATTCTAACGCATGATTTTCATGTTTGAATGGCAACTAATCTATCAATTTCAATGACCCTAGGAAAAAACGTCAAATAAAATGCACATATATTTTTAACATATCAAATATCCTACAATGAATTGATCAAAATGACTGGAACAACTTTAGCTCTGATTCAATTTACTAGGTGAGGAAAGGTCTATGGTGAAGTGTAAACACAGAGAAAAGACAAGATATCAAGTCTTATACACCATATCTCGGGTATATTTTTCAGAGTATAAGACCCAAAAGGAACAGCTTAGGCAACAAGCAAAAGTATTAACAGTGGTTGCCCAGGGTAATGTTTTTCTACTCTAAAGACACTTTTAAAAAATGTTCCATGTTCTACAATAAACATACAGATTATTAGAAGTTAGCTTAGCAGAAAAAGTGTATAAAGCAAAAAAAAAAAAAAAAGTAAAGAGTGAATTAGCACAAAGAGTGTAAATTAACCTGAACACCAAAAAGTTTAGAAAACAAGTTTCTACTGAATGATTTTAAAATTCGACTGAAGCCCCCGGCCTCTATTTATCATGAAACCTGTTTCCTCTCCATCCGACTGTGAATGGACTAAAACAGACAAGGTCTAGACCAGAAGCCAAGAGCCCCAGGTCTAGTCCCGATTCTCTCACTGTCAGCCCTGTGGCCTTCGGCAGGCCCGGAGCTCTCTGAGCCGCAGTGGATGTGTCTGCATCTTAGATGTCAGACAGAGGCAGAGGAAGTGGAAGAGTGAAAAGAAAAGAAGAAATGGTAATCATAGGATTAGTTTCACTATAATATTACATGGTCCAAAATATTAATAAGCTCTTCTATAAAATAAGCAATAAGACTAAACGGTCACCGCCCTTTCTCTACTTTAGTTTATAGGTAAACCAGGCTGGTTAATGTGGGCTTTTGTCTCCAAATTTTCTTCATAATATTTTTAATATAATCAGACAATCACAAACAGGATACCCACCCCCCACCCCCGCTTGAATAGAGGCATTCCTGAGAGGTGATAAATGCCAAAAGCTATAGAAATCTGAGTTCTAATGCCCAAGTTTTCTACTCCCTCATTTTGCAAAGATGTTTGTACAGATACTGATTCACTCACACTGTCTTTCATTCTTCAATTTTGTGTGAGGAAATAAGAAACTTCTTCTTACTTGTCTCCTTTCTAACTCTTTGGGGATGCTACCAGAACTAAGACAACATGGATTCCTACTGGTGGTTTGAGGCAGAAATGCAAAATATCCTGGCTATTTGCAATGTTTTAAGGAAGGATTAACATAATATGTAAGAGCACAGTAAAGAAATACAGGAAAAGTTGCCTGTGGAATTTTCCATTGCTTGATATTGGAATGATTCCCACCCTACCGCCAACTCTGGAATCACAGCCAGGCTTCTTGGAAATCAAGGATTAACAGTTTCAAGATCAAGTGCTAATAATCCCACTTTTGTCATGCTTATATTATGCAATAAAATACCCTTAACAGAACATACGAGGTGATACACATATAAAAAGCTAGCAGTTTCACTTATAGAACACAGATTTATGTCGGTCGTTATACTTACCACGGATGAACACTAAGAAACGCCGAGGCAATCCTGGGTCTCACCTTACAGAAGTAGTTAGGCTTGACGTTTACTCATATCAAAACTTTCAACCAAATCATGCTCATAAAAAGCTTTTCCATGGCCCAAAACCACTTATACTAAAAAGTGCAGAGATAACTACTTTTGATGTTACTTCTAAACTGTGGAAGATGCTCATATGCTACAAATCTGGGCGTTTCAAAGATGCATCTATTAATAGAAAGCCAGGATTTTCATGCACAATCACATTTATAAATGCCAGCACTTGGAAATCAAATGTACTCAAGTTCTGTAGGAAGCACATCCATTGTTTTCATGTTGTTATTTTCGGCCGAGGTTTAAAGCCACCTCTTATTTTTATTTTTATTTTTTTTAGCCCAGAATGTGCTATAGGAATCTATGAAACTTAATTACATTTACTGTTACAAAAAAGGATTTATGAACTTTTGCCTTTAGGCAGAAATGTTTATTTCATTGCCTTTACTATTCATTCTTTTCAACTCCGACGGCTTTGAACTTTTTAGCTGCTCAGAGTTATCACTGTTGTGCAGCGCCCGGGAACTCCACTCCCAGGACGCAAACCACAAGTTGAAGAAAACGAAAAGGCAAAGATATATGAGTCGTTATTTTGGCCACCCTTTGTGCCATTAAAATCTCATTTTCTGCCTATTAGAATGCCCTCTTGGTGCTTAGGCAGCGGTGATAGTCACTGATTAGTGTGTAATTGACTATAATTGTCTTTTCACTTTTCATTTGTGTCATTCTGAGCTCCTCTCTGTTTTTCTCACCACCAAGAGGAAAAAGGCGGTTAAGAAAAGATAAAGCTGTTAAAACTCTCACTCTCAGCCCCGAAGAGATTCTCGATTGCAATTATAGATTGCCACCCCTTTGTGACATTTCTCCAAATTTAGCGGGCGGCTAGCCTCGCCACCTGGGCCAGGAGCTCCCTAATAAAATCAAGCGATCTGTATTTAAACAACTGCTAATAATGTCAACCCCAGACAGATGCCACATGTAGGAAATTTAACCAACCCTCTGACATGCAATTATCAAGGCAATTTATTAATAGGATCTCTCAAGAAAAGCTCATAGTCCAATGCAAATTAGAAAAACAATTACGACATTCAAATCTCTCTCTACTCCCAAAGAACAGCAATTCTCCTGATTCCTGCATTTATGACTCATTTACCCCGGAGTTCTTCAGTCATCAGCTGGGTCTCTCCCCACACAACTTGTTTGCTTCCTCTCGACTGTTTTATAAAATCTGGCATTTTATTAGTCGCTGCTGCTCACAACCCTCTCCACGGACCACATACCGTTGTTGTTTTTTAATGTGTGTAAGTTTCTTACCCAAAGACCAAAACTAGGAGCAGAGCTGACAAACTACGTCTAAACATAAAAGCTCCAAGATTTCGTTAGGAATCGCTTGCATTTTAAGTCCAAGCTACAACTTTTGATACAGCCCGTAGGAAGGCTGGAGAGAAAGGAAACTAGGAAACTGAAATCATGTGGCTCGTATAAAGAATACATTATGGTTTAAATCTGGCAATTCATTGCCCCGCTGCCTCGGGGAATTGACTGTTCGGTTCTGGCATCCAGCACATCGCTGTCTGGGGACGCGGGACTGACCTGAGGTGAAAGGCCGTTGCCAATGGCGGGGTTCATGGGGTTGGAGGGCCCGGACGGGGGCACGAAGCTGTCCGTATAGCTGGAAAATCCATGCCTGGTGCTGGGGAGACAGTAGGCAGAGCTGCTGTCCGGGTTCGAAGGAAGGGTGCTTTGGTGTACGGTGCTCGGGGGGAGCGGCTGAGGTCTGTGCACGGTGCTGCTGGGGTCCGACACGGCTGCAACGAAGAAGACGGTCAGCCCGCAAGGCCGTCTGCGGGGCGGCCAGAAAGCGCAGCGCGGAAGCTCCGTCGCCAGGCCACCAGGGGCATCTACTGGTCGGACCAGATGTTCATTCCCAGCTGCATCTCTTACCGTGCAAATATCTCCCCACATGTGTGCAAGGACATAGCTGATTTATATGCTTTCATGGCAAACTCACCCAGAACAGGAATTCAGAAATCACATTAACAATGCTAACAAACCTATGCGGGGAGTGAATGTTATTAATCAACGTAAGAATTAACCCATGTAAGAGTTGCAAGAATCAAATTTCTTCAGCAAATATTCTTGCAAAGCACCTACGTGTTGCTGCGACGGTATAGTTTCGAACACCTAGGATGCTATCTTTCATAATCCAAAATAATTTCGTCTTGTTTATTCCCATCGCCTCTATGTGCTGACAAACAGTGACTTGATCAAAGCC